TCTGTAAAGCACTTTGAATCACCTTGTTGTTGAATTGTGCTATACAAATAAACTTGCCTTGCCTTTTAACCCTCTCCAGGCAGACGTTGCCGATTTGCAACAGTTAAAAACTAACAACCTGATTACCCCACATACATATTTTATGAGTTTTTTTACTCAGAAGTACCACTGCAGGACTTGGTTGTGCATTAGCAATAAAAAGTTAAATTTGAGCCTGAGAGGGTTAAATCTGAGTGCAGGCCTGCATGAGGGCAGAGTATAAGGGTGTTATTTCTGGATATGCCACACTACAAACCCAGAGGAGCACTTGTGATAACACCCAGGCTGTAAGTATCACTGGGCTGCTTTCCAGTTTGTAAAAGAGGACACTTAAAATACAGTCACCTGTCTGACCTGTGCTATATTTAGCAGCAGTATAAGCTGAAGTTCCCACCACATTCTGTGTCTGGAGAAAGTATTTCCTTGGGGGAAATGGGAAATTATTCCGTCCTATTTATAAATATGAAAGCGTATGTGATGTCAGCACGTGTCCCGGGCCTCATGCGCTGTAAATCTCGTGCTAATAGTCTCGATCTTGTGGCTCGTCTGTGACCCACTCGGGCATCTTCTTGAGCTATTTCAGAGGTGCAGTGTTGTGCAAACATGCAGGAGGGCAGATATACGGGTCTGAAAGGGCATTTCCTGTTTAGAAATTAGATGCAGGCAAAAATGGCTCACCTTGGTTTGTGTACTGTAATTAAGGTTTCCAAAAATGACTGTGAGCTGCTGAGTTTTCCCACTACTGTTGTGGGTCTAGCTGGGAATGAGCTACATGAAATCCAGCATTTACTCAGTGACAAAACAAAGAGCTGTTTATCCCAACTCCTTCAGAGAGGCTGTGCAGTGTCTGCTACACTGAGTCACCAAAGAATTATAGCTATGCAAACAGATAAATTCAGCTACCACTTGCTTCCCCTTCAGCTATCTGAACAACCTCAGCTACACAAAGTGGCATGTCCCATATTTACTAGGGGTGCAACAATACTCGTATCGATATTGAACCGTTCGATACAGTGCTTTCGGTTC